AAAGTTACCATAAGGATAACTGGCTTGTAGCAGCCATGCGTTCATAGCGACGTTGCTATTTGATCCTTCAATGTCGGCTCTTCCTATCAATGTGAAGTAGAATTCACCAAGTGTTGGATTATTCACCCACCAATAGGGAACGTGAGCTGGGTTGTAGACCGTTATGATATAGTTAGTTTTACCCTACTGATGGCGGTATCGCAATGGTAATTCAAACTAGTACGAGAGGAATCGTTGATTCACACAATTGGTCATCGCGCTTAATTGGTTGAAAAACCAGTGGCGCGAAGCTACTTTGTGCTGGAATATGACTTGTCTTCTAAGTCAGAATCCAGGCTAGAAGCGACGCATATGATAGCCGCCTGATTGTCGTCCTATAATCGTGGCTTTGTCCCCCAAGGGCACGTGTCGTATGCTAAGCTTATGCGATGGATGCGCCCCGTGAAAGCTGCTTGAAGTACACTTTCCACCGAGCGGCGGGTTGAATCCTTTGCAAACAACTTAAATATGCGATGGGGTATTGTAAATGGTAGAGTGGTCTTGCTGCCACAATCCACTGAGATTCAGCCCTATGTCTCTTCGATTCGTCTTCCTACCTTATTCCCTAAAAAGACCGATATTTTGAAAAACGAGGTTAGCGGTGCTTCTTATATGCTAAAAAAAATGCTAAGTACTACATTGAGACAAGTCACACAGCCGAAGTGTTGGGATGTGGGATGGTGCAAGGGGGCGCATGGCATCTGCACAAGACATGTGCACCCAAGGACAAGGCATATAAACTAGTTTTGTCGTTTGAGGGTATGTCGTTATTGCCTTAATACATAATGATTAAGGATGAATGAGATATTTCTGGGCATTATCCATGAATCCCAAGGTCCTTTAGGAACCAATGGAAGTACCTAGATGCATAATTTGCTGGGTGAAAAAAATGATGTACGGAAGCCAAACTTGAAGTCTATAATACATAAAATCGGAACAATTTAGGAGGTGTCTGGACCTGGTATAAAAAGTTCACGGAAATGTACAAGATGCATCTCGGGGTCATATAATGTTGTTTGGAACCATATATGATCATTATATGTTGTCATAAATGTCCGTGGTAGCCTCGAGTTTATGACATTGGTGCAAGTTGTAAACAAGTGAATTGACAGTTTGAAAGCATATTAGATGGGTTTACCCATCCAAATGGACTCCCGGGGTGTATTAGAGTCCATGAGAAGCATTTTGACCAATTTTGTTTCCGGGTCCAAAATAGTGAAATTTTGTCCGAAATTGAAGGGTATAATACACGAATTCGGGTCAATTTTTGATTTTTTTTTCTTTCAAAAAATGAACTAAATGCGTGGGGTGACTCATGTGGTCATATAAGGTGGTTTGAAATCATAACACACCTATAAAGATGTCTATAAAGTACCAATAATGAGTTCGGTTTCTATTTTGAAATTCATGAAATTTTAAAATATAATGATGTCATATAAGTATTATGTGATGTGACTTGATTATAATGATGTCATAGAAGTATATTGAAGTGATATGACTTGACAATAATGATGTCATATGAATCTAATGTTGTCATATTTTGTAATTTTATGTATAATGATGTGGTGTTATAATATGATATGACTTGAAAATAGTGATGTTATAATATGATATGACTTGACAATAGTGATATCATAAGAGTATAATAATCTATAAGGAAATTGGTGTCATATAACCATAATATTAGGTGATGTCATAATAGTGATGTGACTTGACATTATGGCTTAGAATTGGAAAAGAACACATTTTATGGTGTAACTATGGATAATCATATTACTATTCACATGTGTGTTGGTTGATGTGATGTGATGTGATGTGTTGATTGATAATTTATAGATAATAATCATAGTACTATTCATGTTTGTAATCTAAATATTAAAAGTATATCTTATCTCATATTCCATCATTAATTAACACAAACCGTCCCTCATTCACCTACCATGTCCAGAGGGTCAATTGACACATTCCCAGTCAAATAATCCCAAACCTCGAAAAATGCGCAATAAGGGTAATATGAGATGTACCAAAGTGTCAAAAACCCATCCCCTACTATTTCAAACCTTTTCCCAATCTTCTGGGATTGTTTCAGCAACTTTCCTTTTTTTTTTTCCAATTATTGCATCCCCCCCCCCCCCGTATTTTCCATTTTCAGGGCCCACAAAAATTATTTTTTGGGGAAAAAAAATGGGTATGAGTTGTGTCCGCCAGATTGTTTGGTAAATAATTGTTACTCCCTCCGTTTTTAAATACTTACTCCACTTTCCTTTTTTTTGGTTATTTTTAAATACTTGCTCAATTTCCTTATTTGGAAAGTTTTTACAATATTTAATTCATTTATCTCACCTAGTAGACCCAACATAAATCATATTTTATTAATTTCATATTTTCTCTCCTCCAATTCTTTCTACTACTTTTGCTTTTTACAATTTCTTATCCTTTCGCCTATTCCACGAGTTATATACACTACTAGGTACTGAACTTTGCCAAATGTATCAATTAAGGTACTCAACTTCCATTTGTATCAAATAGAGTACTCTGACCTTGACTGGAGGTAACTTTTCAGTTGGCAACCTATTGTATTTGGTTTATTTGATTTATTTTTGGAAAATTTGCAAATTGCAGCCAATTAAAGTTCGTATTTTGCAAATTGCAGCCATTTAAATAAAAAATTGCAAATTGCAGCCTAAAAGTTCTTATAAATTGTAAATTGCAGCCCGATTCAACTTTTTCATCGGTTTACAAGTTGAAAAATCTTCGATTAAGGTTTTAGGGACCATTTTAGCCCTTAAGGATCCGAATTGAGCTCGGAATTAGCAAAAAAATAACGCAAGCATCTCGTTTTGCGTAACAAAAATGTATCGATTTATGGGAAACTGTAAATATGAGACACTTACTTTATTTTTTTGCTAATTCAGAGCTCAATTCGGGCCCTTAAAGACTAAAATGACCCCTAAAACCTTAATCGAAGATTTTTCAACTTGTAAACCGATGAAAAAGTTGAATCGGACTGCAATTTACAATTTATACAAACTTTTGGGCTGCAATCTGCAAAAAACTTTTTAAATGGCTTTAATTTGCAAAATACGAACTTTAAATGGCTACAATTTGCAAATTTTCCTTTTTTTTTAAAAAAAAATCATGGACGACAACTTTCTCTCTCTAGAATACTACTTTCATCCAACTTTCTCTCTCTTCTCTTCTCCTTCGTTCTTCAACCCCAATTCGGATTATATTATGGGGTTTTCTTATATAAAATTTTCATTAATTCGCCTCTATTATACAAATAATGTGGGAATTAATTTTCGAGAACAATTCGATTACTTGTTTGGGTTGTTCTTGTAGTTGCTGCTCTTGATAATTTTCCTTTTCTTCTTTTGGTCTGCAAATTTTTTATGAGTAATTTTCCAATTAATAAAACTTAATAATTATATAAAATTCTTGAAGAATGAGCATAATATTGTGGGAAAAGCACTAGAAAAAGGAGAAGAAAAAGAAGGTTGAAGATGGCAACAAAAATGGAGGAGAGAGAATAGATGATGATAATGTTCTAATTCCTCCTGCCAATTTATTAATGGTGGAATTATGGAAGATGGGCTTTACAGATTTGGGTTTCAAGGACCTTCAAATTTCGGCTTCCTCTAAACCCTAAGTCTTAAGTATGTCATGTAAGTTAATGATTTTTTATGGTTAATTATTGTTGTTTCCGTCTGGATCTGATTTCCCAAGAACTCGGACCTGAGATCCTGATACTCCTATCGGCAAGCCGAGAACCTACACAATGAGAAGAAGTTAGCTAACCCCGGAGTGGTCCGAGGATAACCACTCCGATGACAAAGTCAGAAAGTGTTCTAGAGAAGAAGATAAATATGAGAGAGAAAGTAGAGAGAGAGAGTAATTAATGCCCCCATAAATGAGGTCTTACCTACTATTTATAATGATCCACTTTGACAGGTGGCTCTCATCCATGCAAAGCCTCCTGCGCCAAGTGTCGAGCTTCTGTTGCCACGTGCCGAATTCCGACAAGCCGATATGCCTGCTTTCTGGTGCATATCGACGCCTTTTCACAATTATTCAGAGTTTGGTCACGTGCTTTTACAAGATATCGGTCCTACCTAGATATCATCCCATACAATTGTAATTTGGGGTTAATTAATATGTTATAATTATTAATGAGATTTTATTTCATTGTGTTATTATTAATTATTGTATTTAAATTTCAATGTTGCAAATATTTGTGTAACGAGCCATATATACCCAGAATTGCATGTGAAGTTTCTTGAATCACATAATATTCGATTGTGATTTAATGTTTTTGTATGGAGTATTAATTATGAATTTAAGTTTAGTAGGTCAAAGATGAGGGAAGGTTTTCAGAACAGACCTTCAATGGTGGGTGAAGCCTCTGTTTTTTTTATTTTTTTTTTATTTTTTAAGTATAACAGCTTCAATAGTTGCAACAAACATTTTTGAAGAAAAATTAAAATTTCAGTACCTTCCATTAATTGTGTCAGAATTTTTACTTTTCCTTTTTTTTTGGTTTGTTAACCGGTTGTTGTAGGTGGAAAAGTTTAGTACCCTCCCTTGAGTACCTTGCCTGATACAAATAGAAGTTGAGTACCTTAACTGATATATTTGACAAAGTTCAATACCTAGTAGTGTATATAACTCCCTATTCCACTATCTCTATATTTTATTATTTTCTCCAATTTCTCCTAAAACTCCACGCATGAATAAATAGAGCAAGTATTTAAAAACAGAAGGAGTACTTTGTAGTTTTTAGCAGTTTTAGTGTATAAAACTGCCTAAAAACTATAAAATCTTTCAAAAAACTCTAGGCCGATTTCTGGATCAAATGAAATATTTTAAACATCTCTTCAATAAAAACACTCCAAATAAAATTTTAAAACAATTAAACATTTCTTTTCTCCAAAAACCTCCTAATTAAACACATCCATAATTTTTACTTGTATTTTTGAATAAAAACACATTCATAATTAATTTTGTTGAAGTCTAGAATGAAGTAGTTGTACCTTAAAATTAGATGTCAAAACCTGAACCGACCCAAAAAACATTTATTTTAAATTTCGAGTTGCATTGATACAATACTTTAGAATGACTTAAATTTGAAATTAGATTCGACTCGACCTCAATGCAACCGACTCAGATACCCACATTTGACGCCTCTACTTAAATTGACTCATGGCTCTCGTATATATTCCAAGGATGTCCAAAGAAAAAGACCAACTTGGCTAATTACAATTCCTCTTTCTTATGCACCATTTGCCGCGCTCTATCTGTTTCCTCTGTTTCAAATTTCTGTAAAAAAAAGTTCCAAAAACCCTTTCTTCCTCAATCAAATTAACCCAAACCCCATAATTTTTTTTCATAAAACAAGAAATTTCAATGGCACCCACTTCATTTCGTAAAGCAATTGGAGTAGTAAAGGATCGAACAAGCATCAGTATTGCAAAAATGGCGAACAATGTTGATCCAGAACTTGATATCTTGATCGTCAAAGCAACAAATCACGACACCCATATCCCCAAAATCAGATACTTTTCTGAAATCTTGCGTAAAACAATGATTTCAAGAGATCTTGTTAAAGAATGTGTGTGTTTGATTTCGAAACGAATTGAGAAAACCCATGATTGGATTGTTGCGTTGAAGTGTTTGATTCTTGTTTATCGATTGATTGTTGATGGTGGGAGGAATTTTGTGAAGGAGATTGCTTGTGCTAATGCTAGTGGTAGAATGTTGAGTAATATGTGTGTTTTTAGAGATGAAGCGCATTCAAATTCTGGGGATTACTCTGATTTTGTGAGGAATTTTGGGATGTTTCTTGTAAAGAAAGTTGAGCTCATGGTGTTCGACGAAATGTGGCTGAGAAGAAAAGTGAATTCTTCTGATGATTTGAGGAGAATGGAAGAAAGGGAGAAGAAAATGGAGGAAAATCACTTGAGGGATGAGTTACTACTTGAGAAGGTGTTGAGTAGGATGGAGAGGTTACAAAGGTGTCTTCAACGAGTGCTTAATATTCGATGTTCGAGGTGCGTTAATGGGAAGTATAGAGAGCTACTGTTTCTTGCTCTTACTCCTGTGATTGAGGACAGTTTTGTTCTGTATGAAGATGTATCTGGTGGTCTGTCATTCTTGTCAGATTGTTTCTGGGAGATGGAGTATCTTAATTCTGTTAAGACTTATGGGACTTATGCTACTGTCGCGAAGCAGTTTGATGATCTTGCTGAGTTCTATGGTTGGTGTAAGGGTGTCGGGTTTGATAAGCCGTCTGATGAGTATCCTGAGGTTGAGAGCATTAGTGAAGAACTTCTAAGGTCAATGGAGGAGCTGGTCAAGAAAAGGATGAATGAAACGAAGAATTATAAAAAGAGTAGTTCGAAGATGGCAGAACTGATGAATAAGATGTCAGAGAACAATGTAAATGCTATGAATGGTTATGTTCAGGATTCTGATGCCATAGGAAAAGATATGGTGATCGTGAAGGTCAATAGTGATGCATCATCGGCTGAGGAGAAAGGCGAATGTATGGCATTGTCTTTGATCCACGAGGATCAAAACGACATAGTTATAAACCCGTGGGAAGAATTTTCTGATATTGTTGAATCACACATTGCTTCAGATTGGGAAACTTCAGCTGCTAATACCAATAATGAAGACTGGCAGATGGTTTTGGTGGCTTCAGCTGGTAATCTGACTGAGCAAAAGGTTAATTTTGGTGACAGTTTTGATGCTGTTATGCTAAATGACATGTATGATCAGGGTGTAGTAAAGCAGTTTACTGGTGGGAGTGCTAGCAGCCTCGCATTGCCTTGGCATGAGGAGAGAAGGACTACGGTTTTGGCATTACCGAGTACAGAAGGGTCAGTTCATATGGTAAATCAGGATCCATTCACAGCTTCTCTAGCAGTTCCGCCTCCTGCTTATGTTCAGATAGTGGAGCTGGAGAATAAGTTCCAATTGCTGCAACAAGAACAGAAGATTTGGGAGGAGTATGAGGCTAATGGGATGCAAGGTCAAGTCAGTCGTGTGCTTAGTGGATCCACCACAGACAATGCTACTCGTCTGCAGGAAAGGATGCCTCATTTGACATCGTCCAATGACTTGGGGCTGCTTTAAGTCTAACCCTTGGTGTAATGTAAGAAATACTGCCTTTAAAGAGAGTGCTTGAACACAAAAAAATGCCTCTTTTTTTGTCTAGTACATACATACTTCTTATACCATACAGATAGTCTAATCATAGTTGAGATGAATTCATACTTACAGTTGCGAAACAGTTAAGGGAAACACGGCACTAGTACAGATTTGATCTTTGTATACTCTATAGAAATGAAATAAAACATGATGTAATATCTTTTTCAGAAACTGCAATGTAGTAGCAAAGTGCCATTTGCATGTCATTTGTTTACTTCAATTAGTGCATCATTCTATCCTGTCTGCATATAAGAGATGATATTGTTGTTTTGGCACTCTTTTAAAAAATAATCCGAACTGTATTAAGTCAAAAGTTTAGTTACTGGTATATGAGAGCAATGATACTCAATAAATCAATTCGAGAACTTTGATAATTTATCTACAAGTACCATTCATAGACAAACAGCTACATGAAATTCAAGCTGGGAGAATTTATCTATAACTTTGTGTTTTCATTTTATGTTACTCCGTAGTCCATACCTAGCAAAAGATGCAAATGTACAAAGTCTACTAGACTGACATGTACGATTTATGAGTACTCCGTACAAATTAGTGTGAAAGTCTAATCGAGAAATACATTAAGTGACAAGTATCATTCTTTAGTACTTGTTATTAGGAAAAACTGGTAAAAATAATCCCAACTCTAATGTATTCGCTTTAAATAATACCAACTTTGGAGGTACGCCATGTGTTATACGGAGTACATTAGCAACCAGTTTATACAACCAACTAGTCAAAACAGGTACTCGTACTTCATAAAACCGTAATACAAATAGTTGCTCGTAACGAAGTACTATCAATTACGTGTAGCTACTAGTTTCGGAGTAATGACCAAACACAGCCATTGTCGATTTGAACATGTACAGACTACGAGTACTAACAAGTGTAAAAGTTAAACCGAGACATACATCAAGTAACACGTGTCATTCCTGGGTACTCGTACTAAGTTATAGATTAGCAACCAACGCGGGAAAACCCCATGAAAGAAAAGCAAAACCCCCGAAAAAACCCTTGGAAACATCTTCATTATTGACAATGTCATCAACCGTAATAGTCCTCGACAACGGCGGCGGAACCATAAAAATCGGCGTCGGAGGTGACCGGAATCCCACCTTAATCACCCCAAACTCCACCGCAAAATCACCATTTTCTCTCTCCTCCTCAAAAAAACTCCTCACTTCCGACGAAATCCTCTCCTCCGACCCCACCTCTCTCTCTCTTCGCCGCCCCATTGATCGCGGCTACCTCCTCAACCCCGACCTTCAACGCGACATCTGGGCCCACCTCTTCCGCTCTCTTCCTCTCCCATCCCCCCACGTGTCCTCCCTTCTTCTCACCCACCCCCTCTTTTCTCTCTCCTCCACGTCATCACCCCTCTTTGAGCTCGTCTTTGAGGACTTCAATTTCAGGTCTTTGTATGTTTCTGATTCGCCTTCTTTGGTTCATTTGTATGAAGCGAGTAGGAACCCAAACGGTGTCGTTTCGAAGACCCAGTGTAGTCTTGTTGTTGATTGTGGGTTTTCTTTCACTCATTGTGCTCCTGTTTTCCAGAATTTTACGCTTAATTATGGGGTTAAGAGGCTTGATTTAGGGGGTAAAGTTTTGACTAATTATTTGAAGGAATTGGTTTCTTATCGTACGATTAATGTTATGGATGAAACTTTGATTATGGATGATGTTAAGGAGAAGCTTTGCTTTGTTTCTCTTGATGTTCCTCGTGACTTGCAGATTGCTAGGTCAGTTTACTGAAATTCAATTCCCTTTTTTCAGTTTTCGAGTAACGGTGTCGTTTCGTGTACATTGTTGTTTGATTTCTAGAGCTATACATTGTTGATGGTATGTAATTATTTAATTTCTAATGCTATGAATTTATGATGACATGATAAATACTGGGGTTTGTGGATTTATTTGTTAGAGTTAGAAATTGGGGTATTCCTTGTTTTTTGAGGTAGAATTGCTGATGAAATGAATTGGATTTTTGGTGGAAGAAAAAATGAAATGGGTTTCGTTAGGTGGAGTGATATTTGCCTCTTTAATGACAACAGATTCGATTGCTCGGTTTTGCTTTTGCTGGAGTGGGTTGAGGAAGGTTGGTGATATACTGATATGTATGAAACAGCTTGTGTTTTAGAATAGAGTTGTAGCTGGTGGATAATGCTGGCTGTATAATTAGTTTTTCGGTCTAATGAGTTCATGAGATGATTGTGACTTGCAAGTGTTGAAGGGTGAGTAAAGAGGAAGTCAGATTAGTTTGCTGTTAACTGTGCTGTGTTCATTAGTGACAATTGTGATCAATTAGCTACATTGTTGCATAGGATCGTGTATTACGGTTGGATAGCTTGCAGATTCCATAAAGCATTAGCTTCTTGACTTTTGATGGAATTATGTTGATATGATTCAGGCATCAAGTTTGTGTGGAACTATGGGATTTCCTGTGGCTAAAGACTGACATTAAAACTTTCTTTCAGATAAATGTCTTAATTCCTTATTTTTGTCGTCTACAATTAAGCTTAATTTAGTACATGCCTCGGGCAACATGTTGATCTTGCAATATGGGAGAAAATATAATCTTGGTTTCTTTTTGCTCAATCTTTCTGTATATCTTCTTGATTGTGAATTTTTCTCTGATGCTATGTAATACTCCGTAGTTCGTATGACTTACCAAATTGATTGTTTTTTTTAGGAAGTCTGGCAAGGACAACCTTTTTAAATGTACATATGTCCTTCCTGATGGAATCATCCATACAAAAGGATTTGTAAAAGACATGAATGAAGCACAGAGGTATCAAACTCTGTATGACGGGGAACCAAAGTCTATGCCTAATAAGGAAAAGGCTATAGATTCCTCGGATGATGCAGAGGAGGATCCTGAGGACAGAAAAAAAGTTGATCCAACTAAAAATGTAAGGGAATAATCTCAGTTTGGTCGTGTCTAAAAATTTTAATCCCTTGCTTATAGTCTATTTGCTGGTTGCAGGAGTTCAACTTGACCAATGAGCGCTTCCTTGTCCCAGAGATGATTTTCCGCCCTGCAGATTTAGGTTTGTATACCTTTCATATTACTTTGAAAAAACTGACATAAGACATTTCAATGGTTTGTCCTGAAGTATGTACTGATAGTATTGTCGACAAATGGTTGAAGGATCGTTTGCAAGCTCAATCCCTTTTTATTTCAAGAAATGTTTAAAAGAATTGGTTTTGATCAATTTAATGCCTGTAAGAGAGAATGAAATGCAATTTTGAAGAGATAGGGTTGTCTTTTTATATTATTTATGTTCAAAGGAATCATTGTTGTTTATATGATGATAATTTGGAATTGGGTAGTATGTGTGTTATAGTGATTAAGGATGGGTCTCAGCTCTTAAGTTTCAAGCCCTCATGCTTTTTGGTTTTTGAATATGAAAACTTGATTGTAGGAACAGAACATTAATTGTCAACTGTTCTTGCAGGGATGAATCAAGCTGGATTAGCGGAGTGTATTGTTCGCTCTGTTAACTCTTGTAATCCTCATCTCCACCCTGTATTATATGAAAGGTTGTCACCGAAGTTCTGCAAAGCTCTTTGTTTTGTTAAATATTCTGAATATTGTATTTTGTTATATACTGTATTTTACTGCATTTTATGAACTTTGCTTTTCAATGCTGTGTTTCAGTATCATTTTGACTGGTGGAAGCACTTTATTCCCTCATTTTGCTGAGAGATTGTAAGCTTTGCCTCCTTGAACCATGCCTCTTATATTATCCATAATAGATTGAACACAGCCAGTTATTTATGTTGAAGATTTTTTCTTTCATTTCGTTGTAGGGAACAGGAGCTTCGACCATTAGTCCCTGATGATTACCAAGTGAAGATAACCACTCAAGAAGAGTAATTTTCTTTCTATTTTTAACAATCTCCTAGCACTAATATGCCTGGTTTATACTTAACTGATAGCATTCATCTTATCCAGTCCCATATTAGGTGTTTGGCGAGGTGGTTCACTTCTGGCATCTAGTCCTGATTTTGAGACAATGTGTGCCACCAAAGCCGAATATGAGGAGCAAGGATCTGCACGTTGTAGTAGAAGGTTCTTCCAGTGAAGCAAAGTGAACTAAGGGTGACTGGAGAGGCCCGGCCTCCACGCCTAACTCCACATCCCCAACATCTTCGTAGTTTGGTCCCTATAGAAAAGAATTTTAATCATTTAGTTCTGTCTCACTAGAAAAAAAATCTGTTCGTATGACTTTGCTCCAAGCTTGCTTTCCTTTCGGGGTTCGAAAAAGTGGGGAAAAAAAAGTTGAAAAGAGGTTGAATTCTTAAATGAAATACATTTTTTTTTTTGGTGATGTAGAAGAGGTTTAATGTTCAGTTATGGGTATTAATGTATTATCTTATACTGTATATAAAGTTTTGGTTGGAAAGTCATATGTATAGTCTTTTTTAGACACATACAGTTTTGGTTGGAAAATGTAGACTTCTTTTCTTTCTGGGCTTGAAAATGTCGAAAATAGTCTCAAAATTAAAGGCTATAATTAACACTTGTAGACCAATTTCAAAAATTGAAGGTGTGGAGTGTTCTTTGGGATCATGAAAGCTTGTTTGGAACCATATACTTACCTCTGATTTTTATACTTTGAAATAATTTATATTTCACAATCAAAGGTAGTACAATAGATAAACACGACTTTAAAGAGTAATACAAATCAACAACAATTTTGAAGTCCTGTGGGGCTTGCAAAGACGGTTCCAGGCTTCTAGCTCCTGAAACGGCCAACCACTGAACCAAGGTCTTGTGGGCTAGGGTGTGGTCTAAGGGACACACCCTAGCCTCTTTCCTATTTTGTGCCCAAAAAGTCTAAAATCATTTAAAATTAAAGGCTAATATTTACGACTTTTGAACCAATTTTGTAAGATTTCTCCAAAATTGATGAATTGAGCGCATGATGTCGAGGGTTGTATAAATTGGTTTTGGACCATATCAACCATAATAATTGCGTATTAGGTACGAGTATCTTATTTGTATTGAATTCAATACTAATAATAATATTGATTATTTGATTGTAATTACATGCTATTTAAATTTGTGACAAAGTTGTTTAATTTCCAATACACGTTAAATGAATGTAACAAATTTTCACATGTTTGTTTATTAATTAACATTGACTTCTTTTTTTTTTTTTTTAAACATCGGTGCATCATTTATGTCTAAAATACATGAGAAATTATTTAAGGAACAAATTAAAGTTGCATACAAAATTTTATGCTACCATTGACATAATGTTTCCCTTACAACTTACATACAACAAGTTGCAAACAAAATTTTGTAGCATCAATGGCCTACTAAAAGAGAGAACTATATAATCAATAAAAGAAAATAAAATAAAAATAAGAATAAACTATGTTACATAAAACTAGTAGCTAGCTAGCTAGTGGTTGACAAGAATTTAGATTTAGCTCTTACAAAAATACTACAGAGATTAAGTTTAAGGAACTGGATATGACTTATTTTTACACATACATTTATAAGCCATTGGACATGTCTCGGCTTCTTCTCTAGATGCACACACAAAGCTCACCATTACTAGCCTACATGGTGAGCATGAACCACAAGCATGAGAGCAATCGGGCAAGCTCGAGCCAGCGATTTCAACGGTGTCGGGTCCTGGCCCTCTAGGCTTCATTGCTGGTCTACCTCTTGTGTTCATGTTGCCTCTCATTCTTCCTTGTGCGGCTCGGTGACCGTTGCGATCTGTTTACACAGGAAAAAAAAAATTATATAAGTACATACGTAAGTAATAATAAATATATTATTCTAATACTAAGTATGTAGTATGTAGAAATTAAGTATATAAATTTATGATAAGTACGTATGTAATAACATGACCTATTTGACCTATATGTACTATAATTAACTATATCACTTTTAAATTTATATACCCTTTATGTTTAGGGAACATTAATTTAACTCGAAGTTTGTAGCACTTAATTTTGTTGAATTAGCTAATTTAATCAGCTTACTTGCAAAGTAATGATCGGAGAAGATCATACTATATATAATCACATACAAAATACCATGCTTCATAATAATTACATTATATAGTACAATTCAAATGAGTTATATAACAACTATATATATGTAAGTATAGGTTATTGTATAAAACATTAAATTAGCGTTGTATATACTTACAGAAACGAGGTCTAGTGATGTGTCTAGAAACGGTGATATTTGGCAAAACAAGGAGAACGATGAGAAGAACTACTAGAGCAATCGATCTCTTCATGATCTTCTTTCTTCAATAATCTTGTTCTACTCGATCTTGTACTTGTTACGTAGTCTCTTTTACTCAAACGTTAATCAATTCGATTCACTTTTATGTACGTACATATATAGTATGTAGCTTGATGTATGGTTGTGACAATAGAAAGTGAAGAATAGAGATTGAATATATATAAAGGGATTTATTATGAAGTGAAGAAGTGGTGACAATTGAAGCAAATCACACATAAAAAAAGTTGGTTAACTCAAGTTCACATGAAAGTATAGCAAAAGAGAAAATGAGTTCACAGAAAAACACCTCTACTAGCAAGAAATGTTCACACTTTTCAAACTAAACTTATTAACCTAATTTATATTCATTTTTCAAACTAAAATACATGCAGAGATACTTCTTTTTTACGTGATTTTCTGACTTGTACCATAAATATATATAATTGCTACATTTTTTGAAAATTTGAAAATATGTTATATGGATATAAATTTAAAATATAAGACTGCATAAGTAGTAAATAATGTGAATATATTGGATGGTTGTAATAAATATTTTGCAGGGGTGTTCTATTTATTGTGATTGCCATTATTATTTCTGCTTGCTTGGCAAATCAAAGAGCAAAGACATGATACTGCTTAATGGCTTTTTATTAAATTTATGGGTTTCCCTCCTTTTCCCTTATCTTGCTTCCCTCTCTTTTTCGATTTTGGTTTAAGTACGTACTCCCTCCATTTCCATATATTAGTAATTATACGTTATGCATGTACGGATAAATTAAGAAGTTGTTAATTATATCAATGAGGTCTTAGCCTAAGTTACATACAATCATCTCGTTCTCATTTTAGTTTAATTTGTTTCACTCTGCATGATCTACTTGTAAATAAGTTTGTGCGGTTGTGCCTACTAGTAAATTGGGATGGAAGGAATACTCGTAATATTCTCCAACACTATTACCACTACTAGAAAAAAGACTTATGGCAACAGCAATAATTCGTTACCATATGTCTTATTAATGTTGCCATATGCCTATAGCAACGGATTATAAACCGTTACCAATAGGTGTCGTTGCTAAAACTCTTCGGCAACAACTTTCATGCATTAGGCAACAGTTATTGTAAACTGTTGCTGTAAATAACTATGGCAGCGCTTTTCAGGTAGCACTTTTTAACTTATGCTAACACTTATTTAACAACTTTAGGCAACATTTTCAAAGTTAAAACAACAATTTTCGCTAATTTAAAGCAACACTTATTAGCTTGATACTAGTTGATGTTTAAAATTAAGGCAACACTTTATTTTGTTTATGGCAACTCTTCCAATTGAAACTAAGGCGACACTTTTAAACCTGTTAATGGCAACGCTTTTAATTGACATTAAAACAATAGATTATATACTGCGTATAATAAATAAATTGCTTAAATAGCATATAATCGATTAGTACAAGTTCTCCATAAAAATTTATACGTAGTTAATTCAAATCAATTCTAAATGATAAGCTAAATATTTGTTACAAACAACAAAAACATTTAATCTAAATATTTCATACATTAATCTAATAAAAATTCCAAAACCAAAATTAAAAAAAAAAAAAAAAAAAAAAAAAAAAAACCAATCTAATATTTTTGCTCAAATTCCAATAGATCTTTAGATGTTTGATGGAGCACTTGATACTTGGATATAAATAATCTCCTGCAAAACAACAATAATAATAATAATAATAAGACTCTTATATTCAATTAAAAAAAATAAATATCAAATGAATTATTTATGGAAAATTATTATCAAAATAATAGAAATTACTATTGTTGTGAGTAAATAATGAAAAAAAAAAATCATCTAAAAAAGGCAAGATGGAGGTACCGTAGCAACATCACAAGAGTATAAGGAAGTAACATCAAAGGATCATAAATTTGTATAATCATAGATACTACAATATCAAAATACTAGCACAATTTCGCTAAGCTAGGATCATAAATTTTGATGCCTATCTTCGAGAAGAGGAAAGAGATTGAGTTTTTAATCGTATAATTAACTAAGCAAATTGCGAGTAAGCACATATTTACAACACAAAGATCAAGTTTCTTGATTATCCATTATACCATATAAAGTAGTACTTGAACAATATTAAATAAATATGTAAATCACTAGCATGCATATATGAGCTTCTTAACATCTTGCAAATTCCAAGGCCTTTTTTAGCATATGCACACACATAAAAATACATAATTCAAACCACCTAAGTATGATCTTTAATCTGACATCCAACTCAGCCAGCAAAGGTATTTTAAGTTAACTAGTATAGACTCCCAACAATCACGCTGCTTATCTCTAGTGTGTTTACTTTATTTAGAACTTCAATAATATAATACACCATTTCAAATTCTTCAATCACATGTAACAATGTAAAAAATGAAAAAGAGAAAAGGAATGTAACATGTAAAATGGAATAACATACCTGTTCATAATCTTAAATAATATAGTTTATGGATCATTTGTAGTTGTTGAAACGATAGCTTTTGCAATAATTTCCGGAGTCAAGCTAGGATCTTTTTGGCGTAGTTGTGCAAGTGCTGATATTACTGCATCAAGAGTTATATTTCCTTGCTGATTTTCAATATCCATGCGTATCTCTTGTAGTTTTAAGGTCTCAGATTCAAGCTCCTTTGTTTTCCTCTCTATTTCAGCTTCTTGTGCAGCAACTTGTGCAGCATGAACTTCTTTTTCCTTGGCAAATTCTTCAATTTCAGCATTTATATCCTTTTGAACATCAGCAGTTACAGCACTTTTGATAGACTCCATGACCTCTTCTGGTAGAATCAAAGAGGTACCAGGTCCTTTATCTTTTCGCTTCTTACGATTGGCACCAAGGCCTTGTAATAATTCTGTACCTCGACGTGCATTTCCCATAACTTCATCAAATGGATCCTTAATAGATTCACCACTCTGATCATCTTGAGAAGCTTCCAATTCCCTCATTGCTTGCTATAACAATTATTAAAAATTATAGGTGACAAAGTATACGATAAATTTATTCATTAAATAAATTAATAGGAATAATATAGTATTTACTATCTTCTGTTGTGTATCATCATAAGGTCGATCATAAGTTCTTCCCTCCTTTCGTCGTCGAGTCTCTTCAAACATTCTTCTTTTTGATGGTGCCACACCATCTTTTCGTAGCTAATAAATAAACAAAAATAAATATATAAACAACATAGAATCCATGAAGTAAAAAAATCGTAATATATGTGGAATGTATTTCGCACCAACTGCTCAGTTTCATGGCAAAGGAAACAGGACCATTTGTATGTATGTTGTCTTGTTCACGCCGATTTTCAGAATTCTGCAAACTGGTTTTCTACATAAAATAAAAACGAATAAGCATAAAAGTCAAGACAAATTTAGAGAGTTTCTAATTGTTCAATTATACCTTTGCTATTGTTGTTCCCCAATAAGCTAAAAGTGTTTTGTAATGAGCTTCAGGCACTCTTTCAGGAGGATGCTTTAATCTCTCTTCATAGGTGTCATACATATAATAATGATCCCTTTTGAGGCGACATTTGAATCCTCTCCAAGATTGATCAAGAGTCTCCATTACCCAATCCTTAGCTTCAACTGGAAGGATGTACTTGCTCTAAAATAAAAGGTTAGGTTTATGTTATAAAATACAGTATTGAAACACATATAAAAGTAAACTTATGTTATACACTCAAAACATTACAAATGAGAGAAAAGAACACTTACATTCACAAATTCCCAAATTTTCTCCTTATTTGGAACTTTTTTCCAATTTGTGTATGTCAAGGGAGCCCAATTGTAATCATGAGCAATAGTTCCTAAGAATCTAGTTAGCTCTTTCCTTGCCTTTTCAAGCCCGATAGGTTGTCCTTTGTCATTACAGTAGATAGTTACGCGATCTTCCCATTTGCGAGCATGGACATCAAACAAATTTGAAGGACCTCGCCCTTTCTTCTTAGGAACTTTTATCCAAGTAAAAACAGAATAATTAATTCATAAGAAATTTGAAGATAAAAATAAAGATTACAATCACAACTTTATTAATGCAATTACATGACATAGAAAAGTTCATAAGTAAACATGTGACAAGCATTCAATAGTTTTTTAGGCATTAACTAGATCAATTTGACAACTAAATTTAAATTGCAATATGTTTTTGAATTGTATAGTTCTAGAGAACTATGAAACCAAGTCTTATGCATCAGCAGGCCCTGCATCAACAGCAGCAGAGCCTGCGTGCACTAGCAGGGTCCCCTTGATCAACACTAGCAGTCACATATTGCCTTGTGCAGCAACAGCAGCTTCCAGAGCAAAAACTCTACTCAAATAACTTCAACCCATACATAGTTATGTTTGATTGTATAATGGTAATTAGCTAGCAGTTTGTTCATTGTTTACTGCTAATCATTACTAATATGATAAGAGAAGAAGCAAATTATAGAAGGAGATTATAGAAAGCTCTCTAACCTTAGATTGCATGAATAAAAAGGTTACAAGACCGTAAGATTTTTCATGATTTTAAAAAAGGGGAGGAGTATTGAATACAAACCTTGTGCGGAAACAGATTCTGCTCGGCTTTCTAGTGGAATAATGGTCGAAAGCGGGCGCTTAGAATTTTGTCGAACTTGCTCTAATTGTTGTACATCTTGCTCTATTTGTTGTATTTCAGCTGGATCCATTTGATTTTGCGTAACAAGGAAATCATCCATTGCCATAGATGGGCACAATGGCTGCTTCTTATTCTTCCTAGGTGGTTGCTCTCTAGTTCTTTCCTTCTAACATCGGAACATCAAGGTAATTATTATCGAAGATAAACATGATCCCAAGAAGAAAATTAAAAAAAAAATAAGGAAAAAAGGAAAAAGTAACCTTCTTCTTAGGTATAGAGGTTGCTGCTTCAGTCAAAACATCTCTCTCTCTAGACATCTCAAACTCCTCGAGGTCACAATCTTCTTTATCAGGCACATAGTCTGGATCATCTACATTAGAATTCACATTCTCCTTTCCTTTTGCAAAGTTCTTATTTTTTTAGCAATCTTGTCGAGCCCTAACTCTCTAAACCTCTGGGCATTTTTTTCCATTGTCATGGACCTAACTTTCTCATAAGGTGTTAAAATGGACTTTGAGGCAATTTCAGGCTTATTACTTCCATTCTTTGTCATTCTTCAAACAAATATTATAGACAGTTAGTGGAAATAAAAAGTTTAGACCTATCAAATAGCAGTCTAGGTTTTAAGGGAAAATGTCTTAAAACTTTGGCAGGAACATTTTTAGACTTCCAC